GATAATTTGAGTTCATTGCCTAAAACAGTGATTGTGTCTGGCCCACAAAAAGTGTTTAATAAACAATTGCTTTTATTTCAAACATGTTTATTAATTCACTTTGCAATTGTTTTAAAGAATACAAACCTTTGAATTTTTCCCACCATGCTCATGGGTCACATATGCCCAGTTCCTTGTGTTGTATAGTTCCTACATTTATTGGCTATTGCCTGGGATTTCCAATAGAAATTATAACTTTGGAACTAAGGAAAACCATGTGACTTATGTGGAGATCAAGTCCATGTCTTTGGACTCAGTATTGCTTATAGTAAAGTGAGCCAGCTTGGCAGATGACTCCATTTGATAGCCACAGCATCTGTGTAAGAAGAGTTGTGCTGGGTGAAGTAAAAATAATTTCTATTGAAAAGATTTAAGCATGTAATCTCTAAATCACTGTTAATGATATCAAAATAAAAATACCAATTTTCACAGTTTAATCTTTGTTTTGTCTTATCAGTATGATCGCCCTGGAGCATCCCCTAAAAGGAATCATGATGGAGAGTGCACAGCTGCCCCAAGTGAGTCAAGGTCTCATGCTGATCTTTGCTGAACAGTAGTTATATTTTCAGTAGATCTATAGATGGTTATATATAACATAGACAGTTATAACTATATGTTATATACTATAAATAATATACAATAGTGACATTAAAATATGGCAAAATTCCTTCTTTTTGTTTTCAGCATTTTAATCTGCTGAAGGGTTTCTGGTATGGTAGCCCTTTGAAAATACTCTATGGTACTATGAGAAATGAAAATGCTTAAAAGACAGTGTTTTTGTTGCCTGTTGTATTTAAATCAGCTTAATACCATTTTTTTCCTTTGGTTCCTTTAATATTACCAGGGGGACATGAAGTCTTTCATTAAGAGCCTATGCTATAGATTTGAACACACCAGGTTTTAATTCTGCCTCTCTCACCTTGGCCATGTTCCTTTCTTGTTGATAGAGATGGTAGTGTTTCACAGTTGTAAGACTTAAATAAAGTTACATGTAAATAACTGGTAAGCACCTCCTCGACCACAGTTGGTGATTAGAGTGCTTTGACTTGACTCAATAATACAAGTGAAGCAAGGATGTTGCTAATTTTTTAAATTAGCTTTTACTGAGGCCCAACTGAATGTTCACTTAATGTTTAGTGGAAAATGACAACAGTACCTTAATCTAACAGACAAATCTTTTGTACTTTGGGAATTGAAAATAATTTTCTTTTGATTTCTAGCCAATCGGCAAATTGAAATCTTAGAACTGGAAGATCTGGAGAAAGAGTGCTCCTTGGCTCGAATTCGTCTCACTCTGGCTCAGCATGATCCGTCAGCAGTTGCAGTTGCAGGTAAGAATTTAAAACCTCTAATTTGTCAGTATAGTAGCACACTGTAGGGCTAAGCAGTGTGCTGAGTGGGTACAGAGTGAAGGGTTGTTAACTCTGAGATATTCATCGACAAAGCAAAGCAGATACCCTTGGGTGAACTAACTAGCCATTTTCCATTTCCACAGGAAGTTCCTCAGCAGAGGAGATGGTTGCTCTCTTGGTTCAGGCTGGCCTCTTTGACACCGCCATATCACTCTGTCAGACTTTTAAGCTTCCCTTAACACCAGTCTTTGAGGGGCTTGCTTTCAAGTATGTAAAAACTTATATTTTAATAGACTTGATTTTCTAATGCAAAGATATTAT